GAGATTAAGAGCCTGTTTGGCCAAGCTTTTGGGAGACCAAAAATACTTTTTTTCCCCCAAAAAGCATTTTTTTAAGAAATTTTAAGCTGTTTGGCTAAGACGGAGACAGAAAATTCTAGCTTCTTCCAAGAAGCATAAGCATAAGCATAAGCAGAAAATTAATTTATTCAAGATAAAACTATCCTCACTATAAATTTATATTTTCCAAATTATCCATTACTGATTTAAGTTTTTTTTTTTTTCATTTTCGTTTCTATTTTTTACCATTCTTATAAATTTAAAGATATCATATACATGAATCATATTGTAACTTTTTAAATTCTTTATTGACTTTTCTTCTTTTTAATATTTTCTTTGTGTAATGTCTTGTAACTCCTCAAATTATCTTCTTCTTTTTCCATACTAAAGTAAATTATCTACATCCTTCTTTGGATTATCAATTCTTTTCTAACAAATAATCATTTATAATTTCTTCTCTGATAGGCTATTAATTCCTGAATCTTTAAAGCAGTTATCAAATCTAATTTGTGAAAATTATCTACATATAGGCAATAAATTTATAATTGCATCGCATAATCTATATATTATTAAAAATAAAAGCCTCCACATTAAGCCAAGTGGAAGTCTCACAATAGGCCACCTGGCAATTTAGGATAAAGTTAATTAGGTTAGGTAATAATTAGTTTCTTTTTGAATTTAAATTTTAAAAAAATATTATGCATTATGTGTTGTTAGTATTAGTTACTCTTTTTGAATTTGAATTTAAACATACTTAGCTATTTTGTTTTACGAAAATAATAATTTTGTATATGTTTAAAATTATTTCTATTTTACGCTCAATGCCACGATAACGGAGTGTATTAGAGTAGCTACGAGAAAAATGTTAGGGGCCTCGAAGGGTTTCTCTAGCGGCCACAAAGGTGACTGGTGGTGGAGTTAAGAGGTATAAGAGAAAGTGGAAGCCAAGCAAGCGGCGTACTTAATGCTTATAGAGAGCATGGACGACGAGGCGAGAGGGAAGAACAGGGAGGGGTATAGGAGGGCTAAGAAGGAGGTGAAGTTAGCGGTTACTGCGGCTAAGACTGTGGCATTTGCATGAAGAGCTTCGGGCCAAAGGCGGGGACAAGAAGATATACAGGCTAGCTAAGGTGAGAGAGAGGAAGGCCCGTGATCTGGATCAAGTTAAGTGTATCAAAGATGGGGAAGGTAGAGTTTTGAGGGAAGAGGCTCAGATTAGACGAAGATGGCAAATATATTTCCATAAACTCCTGAAAGAAGAGGGTGATAGGGACATTGTGCTGGGTGACTTGGAGCACTCTGAGATGCGTCGGGATTTCGGGTATTATAGGCACTTAAGAGTAGAAGAGGTCGAGGGGGCTATGCGGAAGATGCACAAGGGTAGAGCTACCGGGCCAGATAAAATACCTGTGGAATTTTGGAAGAATGTGGGTAGGTCAGGTTTGGAGTGGCTCGCTAAGTTGTTTAACGTCATTTTTAGTATGAAGAAGATGCCCGATGATTGGAGGTGGAGTATGATGATTCCTCTGGGTAAAAACAAGGGCGATATCCAAAGTTTCAATAATTATAGAGGGATTAAGCTGCTAAGCCATACTATGAAAGTTTGGGAGAGGGTGATTGAAGTGAGGGTAAGGACCAGTGTGTCCATTTCTGAGAACCAGTTTGGTTTTATGCCGGGGCATTCGGCTATGGAAGCCATTCACATTGTGAGGAGATTGGTGGAGCGGTATAGGGAGATGAAGAAGGACTTGCACATGATGTTCATTGACCTATAGAAAGCATATGACAAAGTCACGAAAGAGGTGCTCTAGTGATGCTTAGAGGCTAAAGGGGTCTCAGTAGCCTGCATTAGGGTGATTAAGAACATGTACGATGAAGCTAAGACTCGTGTTAGGGGAGCGGGAGGATACTCAGAACTCTTTCCGATTAGGATGGGGTTGCACCAGTGATCAACTTTTAGTCCATTCCCATTTTCCTTGACGATGGACGCATTGACGAGACACATTCAAGGTGAGGTACCATGGTGTATGTTATTTTCTGATGACATAGTTTTAATTGACGAAACGCGGGGTGGTGTTAATGAGAGACTGGAAGTTTGGAGGCAGACCCTAGAATATAAGAGTTTCAAGTTGAGCAGGACCAAGACAAAATATATGGAGTGCAAGTTCAGCAACGGTACCCAGGAAGGGGATATGGAGGTGAGGCTTGATACGCAAGTCATCACCAATAGAGGTAGTTTCAAGTATCTTGGATCTATAATACAAGGTAACGGGAAGATTGATGATGATATCACGCATCGTATCAGAGCAGGATGAATGAAATGGAGGCTCATTTCTGGTATCTTGTGTGATAAGAATGTACCACTGAGACTTAAAGGTAAGTTCTACAAGGTTGTAGTTAGACCAACTATGTTATATGGAGTAGAGTGTTGGCCGGTTAAGAACTCTCATACCAAGAAGCTAAAAGTAGCTGAGATGAGGATCTTGAGGTGGATGTGTAGGCCTACCCGGTTGGATAATATTAGGAATAAAGTTATTCGGGAAAAGGTGGGAGTGGCCCATGTGGAGGATAAGATATGGGAGGCGAGGTTAAGATGGTTCGGGCATGTTAACAGGAGAAGTATAGAAGCCTCAGTTAGAAGGTGTAAGCGGTTAGCCTCGATGGGCAACAGTAGGGGTAGAGGTAGGCCTAAGAAGTCTTGGGGAGAGGTTATTAGGCGGGACATGGCGTAGCTGGAGCTGACTGAGGACATGGACCTAGACAGGAGGGTGTGGAGGTCAAAGATTAGGGTAGAAGGTTAGTAGGTAGTCGAGCGTTTCTCTTTGTCTTACTCAGTTCGCTAGCATTAGTGTCAGTATGTTATATTTTATTCATAGATAGCTATTACTACCTAGAGTTTGACTGTATTCTTGGATTCGATCTTATTTCATCTTGTTATTATTCCCACTTGTTGTAATTACCTTTTCTTTTTCAGTCGTTCTCTAGCCGAGGGTCTGTCAGAAACAACCTCTCTGCCCTTCCAGGGGTAGGGGTAAGGCTGCGTATATCTTACCCTCCCCAGAACCCACTCGTGGGAGACTACTAGGTTTGTTGTTGTTGTTTATGCTCAATGCCATCTTTCAAGTTTGAAACTCAGGAACATCTTGTTAATACTATCATAGCTATACAAAATATCATCCGACGACATTCTTCTACCAACAAGGAATTCAACTATTATGCTAATGAAGACATTATTGCAGAGATTGAGGAAGGAGATGGGCCTTCTGGTATTCCTTTAGAAATGCAAGGCAAGTCTTCTACTAATATGGAGGCATTGTGTGATAGAAGTAGAGATTAAATTATTGAGAAATATTATCATGTGTGAGTGACTTTACTTATTATTTCATGGTGGATTATCAATATATAATAATTTATGGAATAGATTTCTAATTCATACTAAATGATGCATTTTGATTATTCAAATTATTGTGTAACTGTCACGACTCCAATTTCCCTCCGTAGGACGTCGAGATGGCACTAGTCTTTAAGACTAGGTAAGCCTAACACTTACTAAATTAATGGAAAAAGTCAACCAACTATTAAAAATGATACAGAAATTTCTATACAAAGTCAGCAATCCCAAAACCGATAGTACAAGTCATAAGCTCTACTGAGTTCACTAAAAAATCTCTAAGTACAATTGTTCCAGAATGGAAATAAACTGTACAAAAATAACTTCCGAAGGTGACTCCAAGGCTTGCGAACGCGATGACAGGTATACCTTGAAGTCTCCACAGCAATAACTGATCCACTATCTAACAATCAACAGACTCCGAAGTACCTGGATCTACCCAAAAATGTACAAAAGTGTAGTATGAGTACACCACAGCCGGTACCCAGTAAGTATCAAGACTAATCTTTGTGGAGTAGTGACGAGGTACAAGTCAAGACACTCACTAGACAAAATAACCTATGCAGTATAGAGGTATAAAGCTAATAATGGAAGGCAGAAATCAGTAAATGGCAATAGAATCAACATGTGATAAAAACAGTAAAGCAACAATAACACCGTGAAGTATCATTGAACCCAAATAAGGAAAAAAGAGAACAATCAATTAATCTAGTTGTTCTAACACACGATTCACAATGAAATCACCTTGTGATACCTCATCTCATAGTCACGAGTCACGTGTTCTAACCCATCATCATGTACTCACCGCACCGCATGCCCACATCTCGAATCACAACTACACGGACAACTCACGTGCCGATATCTCAATCCGCTAGGCATGATCACAGGCTCACAATCACAATTCGCCCGGCATGGTCACATGCTCGCAATCACAATCCGACTGACATGGTCACATGATCAATATCAACATGAAAAATAGATAATACAAGAACACACGGGCATGATCAATAAACGTCAAGTTTCATACTCTTGAGCTAGTATAAGTGGCATGCTACGGTGTATGCTTGTGCGAGTGTGCTACTGCAGCCGAAGTTAACAAATAATATCAAAAACATTGAATAGCTCATGGAAACAACAAAGCAAGTCGCGTAAGGTGTATGACAAACACAAGGAAAAGCACACCATCACACGAAAATCACAAACACAATGTCTCCAAACCATCACACATCATCCCTGACATTGCCAACCTTATCTCTCTGATAGCCACCCGTATGACTCCGCCATGACATTATCATCCTATAGCCACCCGTATCACTCTGTATAATATCCACCCTTATCGCTCCACCCGAACAATAACGCAATAGCCACCCGTATCACTTCGTACATTCAATAATAGTGAGATGTCACCCTTATGCCACGCATAACAATAACGGTGAAATGCCACCCTTATACTTTGCATAACCACAACGGTGAAATGCCACTGTTATGCTCTAAATAATAACAACCAAACCACACAACAATTCACATGTTCTATCATCACATAACTACAACATATCAACTCGTATCACAAGTGTCACGTCCCAAAACCGAGGAGCGCGACCGGCACTCAACCGAGTGAACCCGACCGAGCAAGCCTGTTAGATTTCATTCTACCCAAACTCATCCACGAATGGAGATAATGCATATTTTCCTAAATTAGACAAAAGGTGTTCACGCCTACAATACCAATTCATTTCCAATAGTTTCATCATTTTTAAAGTCTCAATTGGACAATAATAAAACCACAACATAATATATATATTTTGACTTTCCCAGCACCAATACACAACCCACATTATACCTACAGAGCCTCTGTGGATAAAGAAGAGTACAATGATAATACCGGCAACAAGGTCCCGGCTATACCTCAAACGAAATACAAAAGGTACAAAAGATACATGACCCCAGGATGAAGTGGGGTTCACCAAGTCATCTGAGAAGAAGGTGCACTGCTATTACTGATCAATGTCTCCTGCTGTGGAACCACATGCATCCATTGAAAGATGCAGCGCACCCGGCAAAAGGGACATTAGGACTGTCGAATAATACTAGTATGTATAACTAAACACCCTCTCAATAGAATGACAAATAATACAAACAATATTATCATAATATCAATGAAAACCTTAATCTACATCAAACCTCAATTTAGGATCAAGACAGCGTTCAAATTAATTTCCATATCTCACATTGGGAGATTTTTCGTATCAATATACCATTGTTCACAATACCAATGTTCACAATACCAATGCCACCGTACTTTTAGCACGAAGTTCGATCACGACCCCAGTCGGCTAGGCTATCTCATTAGAGAATCAACCACAATTACTATCAATACCAATACCACCGTAAATTTAGTACGGAGTCCGATCACGACCCGATCGGATAGGCCATCTCATTAGAGACATCAACCATAATTACTGTCAATACCAATAACACCGTAAATTTAGTACGGAGTCCGATCACAACCCAATCGACTAGGCCATCTCATTAGAGACATCAACCACAATTACTGTCAATATCAATTTCCAGCACAATCACCACCATGTGTGCGGCATGGTGTCCGATCATGATCCGATCGGCTAGGCCATCTCATTCGAGACATCAACCCTTTTATATCAATCAATCTTATCCCAATTAAGAGGAATAATTTTATCACATCAATCTCATCCCAAATAAGGGGAATAATTCACAAAAATAACATAGGTACAAATGTATTTACCTCATCATCTTCCACATTGTATAAATCTCCACTATTATTTTCAACCAATAATAACAACAAAATTTCCTTGGCTCTTTTGGCCATTCACAATATTCTTTATTCAAGGCACGGTGGCCATATTTGTTATTCCACACTTTTATTTCTTCCTTTTAATGTATCATCATCATAAATATCAACATACATATAATATTCCGGAAATCACAACTTTAAGTTCATTTGAAATGACCAATTTAAGCACCATAGATTTATTTCTGAGAAGTGGAGTAAAACGATTGGCAATTGATGCGCAAGTTTAAATCATCACCAAAGAACACACCATTTATTCTTGACACATTTTCCCCCACAAAGGGCAATACATAATTTCCACTCACGAATATGTAAGAAGGCAAAACACGTTGGAAATACTCACAAAGCATTGTATTTGTTAAAACAGACACTTATGGCATGACTTGAGTACGAAAGCTTTTAGGTAATTCTATTTTCAAAATCATTTTAGAACATTTGAGTCGAGACTCATTTCATAACATTTCTCACATCATTTCATTTCATTGGAACCATTGGCCACAAGTATAACTTTCACTCTTGCACATTGGCCACACTTTGCATCCCAATTCACTTATTTCATTTCCAACCACCTTTATAGGCTATCAATAATAATACATTTCCAATACAGACTTTAGGTACTCATATGAGCAATTTCGAGTCTTGAGAATATTGAGATTTTCTCACACAATTAGTATAGTAGTTCTCATCTAAAACACGACTCCAAGACACAATATGTTAATATACAAATCATACTTTGAACATCTATCTTTCGACATAAGGCTCATTCGGAATAAACAAGTTTATAGGGAATAACACGGAATATAGAAGTTAGGAATCTTGAGCCAGTCATACTTGATCTTACGGAAACATTATGGATACCTATTCTAAGAGAGAAAGTTTAGCCAACATACCTTGCTTTGAGCTTTCCTTAAATTACTACAACGTTCTGGAAATTGTAGCAATCCCAATCTATTTTGAGACATAACAAAATTGAACAATTATTAGGAAGATATTCATGGTCTCAGCTCATTTGAGCATTTTATCTAACAATATATATGCAAATTGGTTACAAGATTCTTCCATAAGGTTTCTCTCACTTCACAACCCAATATTTACCTATTTGAGCTCAACAATCTCCCCATAAAACTTATTGGTACATAAATGTATAAATAATACTCTCACACCTAAGAATCATACTCCAAATCAACCATCGTTTGCCAAATTCGAAATTGAAAACTAGGATATGGAACCTTAACTCTTAGATGAAGAACATGAGGGATTTCTTGTTGAATTTCAAGGATTGGACAAGATCTTGATGAATAAAGTACTTGAGCTTCTTACTCTCTCTAGAACACTCTCACTTCTCTCTAAAAATATTAGATTTTTGCTCCAAAATGAGCTTCAAGGGTTATTTATCGAAGTTGGGTCGGGTTATAACAATAGAAGAATGGATACTCTAAAATTTTCGGACCAGGCTACAGACCTGGCCTCGCCAGGCTAAAGCCTGGTCTTAGCGCGCTACAGGCCTGGCCTTG